CTTGCGGAGTTTGTTGCGGAGGTTACGCAGCTCTGTATTCCAGCAGGGTTTCCACGCAGAGTAGCCGGAGAAAGGTCTACGAAGAGGAACACACTCGTGGAAAATTGCGTGCAGTTTTTCGTAGAACTGGTTTGTAATGACGTCAACTGAATCACCGTTCAGAACCAGGGACCAATTAACTGCTGTAAGTATGTGATCTAGGGCGGTTGGGTCACAGTTTTTAAGATCAAATACTGCTGGGGCATCATGACGATCAGGTAGATTGAAGTGCGCATCGAGGTTCAGAATGAATGGCCTGTGATGGATGTCAACATTAAGCAGTGGAACCGCTGGTTCAAGGAGATTAAAAACATCTGGATTGGTAGTGAATGCCAAATCAAGCAGCTTTCCATTTGTGTTTACAAATGGGTTAACCTGAATTAGATCATTAGCAAGCATTTCTTCGGTAAGAGCCACTTCCTGCTCCGTCGATGAGTTTGAAGGCAGATACCCGTTCATGTCCTCGTCGAAATTCCAGAGTAAATGAGGGAGATTATAATCACCCAGCACCATGATGATATCATCGCTCAAGGACGTCTCTGTAATATTCCGTATAGCTACGGCATGTAACTTGTAGAGCTCAGGACCTGACAAAGGGCGAACGTAGATTCCGGAGATGAACAGTGAGTGGTTCTCTAAACTAATTCGGACAATGACCTGCTCGAGCTGGTCACAGTTTTCCAACGAAACCAAGGAGCAATGGTACACAGATTTGACTGCTATGAGTGTACCACCTCCCCTGGATAATTGACTGGAAGATTCATTGCGATCACAGCGGAATATTTGGTAGTCCGTCGAAATTTCACAGTCGGATATGTCCGGTCGAAGCCTAGTTTCTGTTAAGACCACTGCATCGTAATCACTGCTCGTCTGTCTCAAACGAAGCTCTTGGATCTTCGTACGTAAACCCCTAACATTTTGATAGTAGATAGAGAGAACTGAATCCGAGAGGTTCTCCATCTCACTATCATTAACTCGTACCGAAGCAATCTCGGGTGCATTCATGGAGCGGTCCTGCGTTCGTCTCTGCGGGTTCGGTTCGGCCAATGTAGGGATGTCAGTACGTTCCAAAGTTTGGTTAACACCACTGGAATGACGACCAGTCGTCGCGCTGGAAACGGAGGGTGGATCAGACAAAATACTGCTTAGAATTGCATCGTACTCGCCTTGAATGACAGGTTGGAAGACCCCTTCTCCATAACCACACACAGGGCCAGAACGACTGTTGGCCGATGACGGAGTATGCTCGACTGTGGTGGAAGGATTAGGGGCTTCCTTAGAGCTAACCTCGTTGCGTCCTGTAGTTTGAGTAGTACTTGGAGAGTGTTGAGTTGAAGCAGCAATGGTATCCACGGAGAGATGATATTCTCGGACGACGGTATGCAGATTCGTAGTACGATTTATGTTGCTAAGAGCATCACCTTGGACGGCTCCTGTCCTACCATCGTCCACAAGAGCAAGGTGACTTTTACCTCGTGAGCACACATCATTAGTAGGCAGGATTGGGTCGGAGTTTGGACTGAAACTATGCAAATCATCAGGGACAGAAGGGATACCAAAATTAATTAAGCGGAATTAAATGGAAGCTAACCTTTTTTTGCTGTTTTATTTAAGCATTCCGCTAACAACCCAATTTCATTATTTCATTATGATGGCTACCAAGCCTTTGGGATTTTCCTTATTAGAGAGTTGTATAGATTTTTCTCCTTTAGTTTACTTAAATCTTTGGTTTTTATTAGTTAGGTAGGTTCCGATTCAACACATTGTAGTTTCATTTTTATACCTATGATCAGGCTTGCAATTGCTCATTACAGCTAAAATGCTATTTTTCGTTATTATGAAACAATGGGATAATGATAATTTTTATTTGTAAGATACAAGAAGAGGTGGCAAAGAATGTATATGATATATAAAATTTGTCAATTTTGCTTTCAGAAGGTCACAACTAGCGATTTTATGATCGCTGATTGCTCGCTCATCGCGTTGCTCATCGTTACAGCTAATCGCTAGTTGTGACCTTCTGCAAGCAAAATTGACAAACTTTATATGTCATATACAATCTTTACCACCTCTTTTTGCATCTTACAAAAAAAAATTATCATTATAGTATCCCATTGTTTCATAATAGCATTTTAGCTTAAATGAGCAATTGCAAGCCTGCCTATTATCTTGATTTTTTTTTTTACCTAGGGGATGAGTACTTAAGGGGGTTGGATTTTGATAAGTTCTTTAGTGGGAATGACACTGATGAAGGCTGCACATTGTAGTCGAAATACGTATCTGTCATGGATACAAAAATTAATTAAGTGGAATTAAATGGAAGATAAACCCTTTTGCTGTTTTATTTAGCATTCCGCTAACAACCCAATTTCATTACTTCATTATGATGGCTACCAAGCCTTTGGGGATTTTCCTTATTAGAGATTTGTATAGATTTTTCTCCTTTAGCTTACTTAAATCTTTGGTTTTTATTAGTTAGGTAGGTTCCGATTCAACACATTGTAGTTTCATTTTTATACCTATGATCTTGACTTTTTTACCTAGGGGATGAGTACTTAAGGGGGTTAGATTTTGATAAGTTCTTTAGTGGGAATGACACTGATGAAGGCTGCACATTGTAGTCGAAATACGTATCTGTCATGGATACCAAAATTAAATAAGTGGAATTAAATTGAAGATAACCTTTTTTGCTGTTTTATTTTAATTAAGACTGGTAAGTTACTGTGCATCGATGGATTTGAGTTCACTCGAGAAAAAGTGCAACAGGCAAGGGCAATGTTTTCTAATCATGAACATCATTTTTAGAAACATGAGAGCAACTGAAGTATAACTTATTTATAACATATTATAAATTAGTTTTTTTTAAATATGGATGCATGTTTAATCATGTTTCTAAGACAGACATATTAAAACATCAACAATCAGTCATAAACGCATTATAAACAGGTAATTGAGAGTTGCTATACCGAATTATATCTTCAAGATAAAAAGTGCCTGTCAGAAAGGTTAGATACTTCACAAACAACAAAAGAACGGGTTTAAAACAAAATGTTTTCAAAGAAATTAATAAATAACTTATGTATTTACAACTGGGTTACCAGACCTCGATTTTTTGCAAACTTGGCTCGAACATTGTGTTGTAAAATCAACTTATCTCATGCAATAGAAAACAAAATAAAAAAATTTCTCGCTCCTCTGTCCTGTGTCCTGTGTTACGATGTTGTAGTATGATACATCTTAAATTACCACACAGATCTTTTCATAAATCGCCATAGTAATGGAAACATTTCTAATTCCTGATCCCACTGTTTTAACATTGATTGAAACTGCCAAAATTCATGACCTACTGAGAAACTGCTCAGTCAACTTCGAAACAGTAAAACCTGTTCCTTTTCCTTGTTTACCAACCTACTTTAGCTGCTACCAAATGCGAGAAATAAGTTTTGCGCATATGCACAGCCATATTTGGCATGCACAGTTGTACGCACCAACTGCTCATTTGTTAATAACTTTTCACTCAGTTTTTGAAATTTGTTTTTCTTTAAAGTAATTGATAGATTAGGACCATAGCTTACTATAGGTATGCAAAGAGTAGGTAAATCTTAATATTTGACTTAAAGTCCGAGATGTGCAGCGAGCATTTCTCACTTAATTTTTACAACGCAAAAACAAATACAGTTTATTACTAGAATTGAAATCTACTTTTTTACGTATCTATAACAAGCCTCAACTCTATTCTATCTACTACTTCAAACAAAACTATGTTTTGTCAACTGTGTGTAAAGTTATTAGCAAATGACCAGTTCGTGACCAAAACTGTGTATGCCAAGCGCACAGCAAATGTTTTGGCAATAAACCCACCACGCCGCTTGGCTCTCTTAATGTTTATATTTTCCATTATTTCGGCCTATCCAAATTCCATATAAGAACCTTCCTGATCCGAACCTGCAAATTGAATAAAGAGTCTATTCGTACATGTCAACCGAGAAGCATCTTGAATAATCCGAAGTCCGTAAGCCACACCTCCCTTAGGTTGGTAAAAATAATAGAATTCCGTCACACAGTTGGGATTATAGGGACAAAATGGATTAAAATTGCCTGCCGCTGAAATCGCAATATAAAATATCCTTTAATTTAGTTAAATGGATAAAGGAAATTATTTGCCACGGGATAGCTGAAGAAGCAAGCCATTTTGATCAATTTCACCCGGCGATCAATTTTCCCCCTGGCCTACGGTCAATACCACATTAGAACGCAATAATTAAGTCTTCAAGTGCATAAGTTCATGCATTATATTAAAAAACAACTTTTCGTCATACCTCTCTCAAGATGCTGAAGATTCACACAGTAAAGTCCAGCGTCCAAAACTTTTAGCTTTAAAACCAAAACTTAATAGTAATACTTCACGAAATTTCTGCCAGTTCTATTACTTGAATCCGTTTTCCCGGGTTCCGAAGAAATTCCCAAGACAGACAACAAAAAAATCATTTCTCAACCTTGGCATAGCCCCGCTTACTCATCTATCCGACCTGGTCAAGTATTGTTCCGCTCGTACTGCTCGTACTGTCATTTATATTTTTATTTTCATTTATCATAAAACGGAACTACCGGGAACAGCACTGCAGCCCATCCGCCCATGGCCGAGCCAAGTGAGAGAGGGTCGGTCGTCGCTCGTCGGTAGAAAAACATAAAAAAGACAGCTCTCTTGTTTGCAAGCGATTCTCCACCGGGCTGAATAGACCTTGAGGAAAGCCATAACTTCCGCCAGACAGCAAAGGCATCCGTGCTTGAAAAATTATATGTTTTCATCTATTCACTAGGTTCAGTTAGGTTCCAGATTACGACCTGGCACAGTATAAAAATTTCCGGCGTAAAGCAATTTTCACGTTACTTTGCGTTTTTTCTTTCGCCAGTGTCACCGGTCGCAAAAAAAAAGGTGTTAACAACAGGAAAGCACTTACCTGCAAGTGAGCTTTACGGAACTTCCCTCAGGAACGATCACGTCCGACGAGGTGTCTTCCGCGATGAAATCCGGCGGAATTACCACGTCCAAGTAGCCTATCTGCAAAACGAAAAAGATGGAAGGAGAGGAATTAACGGTTAGATGAATAATGAAACTAAACAATTTTATGATTGTTCGTTTGATTAGGTTTTTTTCAGCTTGAATTTCTATTCAATCATCATCATACAGACACACTACATTCCAAATCGCTTCAACTGAACGAACGCAACGCACCGTGGAAAATTTGTTTTGCTCTTGAGAGTGAAACTGATTAGTGTACACAAATGAGTGGCGTTGAAATACAAATAGGAAAGTTTTAATTCAATTTTGCCCATGAGTATGGAATCGATAGAAACAATAGCAATAATAATAATAATAATGCCCGTGGAGAGTTGGTTGAACCAAAATGTTACCAACAGGAAAATAAAAAAAAAGCTGCCACTCAAAAGCGAGGCGAGGTGATTTAGCCGTGCTTTTTCGAGACCAGTAATGGTTTTTAATTAAAAGTTTGAGGAAGTTGAGTGGTTGCAGTTGAAAATATCCTTGCTGACATTTACCATGTTATATCGTGATTTACATCTGGTACATGTTGGTATGAAATGATGTGTTGACAATTGATTTGGCAATCGAAAGTTTAAGGTTAGTCGGAACAAGTTGATGCTGAAGAAGAATGCTTTTGTAGTGATGTTTCCGCCTCATTACATCGTGTGTAACCCATTATCGCCCAATTCACATTTAGCACTGCAAAATATCGAGCATACAAAGCGAAGTTGGCAGCACACACTTTTCGTCACTTATTCTAACTCAAAAAGATCTTCAAGGGATACTATGTCAATTGGCAACGTAGTAAGTGACGAACAACGATATTAAATGAATTAAAGGAGTACAACGGTAATACAGTCATGTCTGCCTGTATGATAATCACTTTTTGCTACTAACGGGTGTTCAATAAAAAATGAGATTTTTTTCAGTCATATAGCTAGTAAAAATTTTTTTTTCAACGAATTCAGTATTTTTTTTATTAAAAACCTAATGTTTATTCTTCAAAAAACGTCAATGGATATTGGAGAAGGGGCCCTGGTCAGCCGTACGACGCAACTTAGTCACGATGCTCTCACAAGAGCGCTGGACGGAACTGAAATCATTCTCATTTTTTATTGAACACCCGTTAGGTGAATCTTTGTCATTGACGAAGGTCGCCAGAGAGTCGATTCCAAGTATTTCAATATCGCGCGAAATCTTTCAATGGCAATTATGAAGCTCAGCACTGTTCATAATTGAGAAATCTATATATATAAAAATGAATTTCTGTCTGTCTGTCTGTCTGTCTGTCTGACCCTTATAGACTCGGAAACTACTGAACCGATTGGCGTAAAAATTTGTATACAGGGGTTTTTGGGGCCGTGGAAGGTTCTTATAATGGTTTGAGACCCCTCCTCCTTCTGTAAGGGGGGCTCCCATACAAATGAAACAGAAATTTCTGCATAACTCGAGAACTAATCAAGGAAATGGAGCCAAATTAGGCATGTGGGGGCGAGTGTGGGGGTATAAGGAGATAATCATAGGGGGTAGCCCCTTAGATAATAGGAGGGGGCTACGTACAATATAGTATGCTTTTTTTTAAATCGGCGCATAAACTCAAGCTAATATTGAATCCCGAGCAAGACCGGGCACACTCAGCTAGTATCTATATAAAACAAGGTTTAATGACAAAAAATAGGAAAGTTAAAAAAAAAATTCTTCAAGTGGTGTCCTCATTTTCTGTTTAATTTAGGTTGTTTTAGGTTTTCAAAGGACCTATACCTATTGGATCTGGTTACTGATATTTTTTTACCACAATGTTTATACGACGTGCGAGGTTTGCGCACCTAAATTGATGATTTTTTGTGGCAGTCTCCGAATCCCACTACGACATAATTATCCTCACTGAGACTTGGCTTGACGAAAAGGTATACTCAGCTCCACTTTTCGGAAACTCTTACAATGTATACAGGAATATTTTCCAACTCCGTAGCACTTATGAGGGTGTCGCTAAGTCGGTGGCCTCTCGTTAAGTAAGTACTACATCAACATTTCCTTCCCTATCCCTAGTTATGGTAAAGATGGGCGTGGCCGGGAATAGCGGCAGTCATGCTTCTGTTACTCTTGTTTAGATTGGAACCCCAGCATTATTCCTGAAAGTAGTCTAACTGAGAATTTCAGAAGAGACGTGAGTGTCGCTAGTATCCAATCTACGAAGTATATCATAACAACGCTAACGCTAACGCTAACGCTAACGCTAACGCTAACGCTAACGCTAACGCTAACGCTAACGCTAACTCTTACAATGTACACAGGAATAATCGTAATCGCTTCAATAGCAGGAATGCACGAGGTGGTGGAGTGCTTATTGCCGTTTCAGTTTTGTTTTACTGTGGCACCGATCGAACTCCTGTTGATAGTTCACTTGAGCAACTTTGGGTGATTCATGAATTGTCTAATTTGCGAATTAGCATTGGTGTACTATATTTACCACCTGATCGAAAAAATTAGTCAGCATAAACAAACACATTGAATCCACCAGAGCCATTTTCTCTAACCTCAGAGAACAAGATCACGCAGTCTTGTTTGGAGACTTTAACCAGTCTGGATTAGTATGGAACTCTACTACTTCCGACTATCTTACTGTCAATGTAATGAAATCGCATATTTTTGTTGCATGTGCAGCATTACTTGATGGATTCAGTTTAAATGATTTGAAACAAATCAACAGAGTTTTAAATGTGAATGGACGGCTTCTCGACCTAGTTTTAATCATGGATTCATTGATAGTAAATTGCAAGCTACTTGAAAATATTGAACCGCTAGTTCCCATTGACACTGGTCATCCCGCCCTTTCAGTGAAAGTTTAAGTGCCAAGTCCACCAGTTTTTGAACAGTTTCCAAACGAGCCAGAGCTGTATTTCAATAAAGCAGTTTATTAAACATTGAACGAAATTTTTCATCACACGGATTGGACGTTTTTAGAATCGACAACGAACATTGACGAAGCAGTTAGTCATTTCTCACGTACTGTCAACACTGCCTTAGCGGAACATGTTCCTATACGTAGACCCACTCCAAACACATACACTTAGTTTTTTCTACCGAGCTCGGCTGTGCAAATCTCGGCAAAAAAAAGTTCTACTGAGATCTCAGCAAACATTTCATTTGTATGCTGAGATTCAGCTAGGCATTATCCGAGACTCAGCAATCAAATGTCACTTTTGCTGAGATCTTAAAGAAACTTTTTTTGCCGAGCTTTGCACAGCCGAGCTCGGTAGAAAAAACTAAGTGTGCACCTTGGGGAAATGCTCATTTACGATGGCTCAAACGTATTAGATCGATAACACTTCGGAGTTATAGTAGAAACCGCTGTCCTTTCTACAGGCAGCAATTTACCCGTGCCAGTAATAACTATCGTCTTTACAACCTTCGGAGAAACCCTAAGTTTTGGACTTTTGTGAACTCTAAACGTAAAGAAAATGGCCTACCTGTAGAGATGATTCTGCACCTTGATATCGCTAAATCCGCTTCTGAGGGATGCGAGCTATTCGCTACCCAAGTAACAATTCTGCAATCATTTGGCATCCACTCTGATTTATGATGGTTTTATAATGGCAATGAATAATCCATTTAGTTTAAATCCAGCATTTCGCAGTGTAACACGTTCCTGCTTAGTAGTTCATCTTTTCGCTGTTTTAAAAACCTTTTACAGTCTGTCGAGAAGTCAAACTGTCTTGTTTTAAAATAAAATTTAAAGTTGTTCTTAATCCCACCATAAAACTGTTCTATAAATCAATCATAAACTTCATTAGCAATTTTTTATTAATGTCTTGATAAAATACTCTATAAACCTGTTCTATCATTATAAAAGCAATCATATAACCATTAAGTTTTAAATGAGAGCAAATGGTATATATTGTTGCCTTTTAGGCTTTTAAAAGTGTATCATAAAATCTCCTCTGTTTACAAATTGAATTTTAAGGATGGATCCTCACAGTGAATAAAAACCAAATTTATGACAAGGATATATCGAAGGATAAACGAAGTTTGAAGAAAAATTCAAGCGATGCTAACGACCGAAGTAAAATTTAGTTCTTTAGAAGAACCAGCACGTCCGGCGGAACGGTTACAATCAACGACTGAGCATCTGGTGGAGAAGAGAGAAGTGAGCGTGGTCCTCAAATTCATAAAACATTGTCAAAACAGCCTGAAAACAAACCAGCCTTCTCCAGACCTTGCGAATAGATGAAGATCGGAATAACTTGTGTCAGTACCGACAGCAAACCACTGAAACTGTCAGTTAGCGTACACTAGTTGGTTTCCGATACATAGCTGCGATTTTATTCGGTGAAAGGGTCATCACTTGGAAAAAATTAATTCAACTGTACATTTCTGCATCGTTTGATGGTGCACTTCCAGAACCATCCGGAAGAAGGGGATCTTTTCGGGAATTATCGAGGTTACAGCTGTGCGAAATGCTAAATATTGTGAACACTTTCTTAGTAACTGCTTCCAAGCCATCGGGAGATAATCGCCTGGAAGAACGCTGAATCTCACAGCGCAACTATCGAAAGATAAACAAACTTTGACGTTTAACTTTTGCAAGCAACTTTGCCTCCATAAATGCTGCCATAAATCTGAACGGGTTAAAATCAAGCAAAATGGCTTTAGATAAATACAATTCAGCCTGCAAGTTTTCTTCATAAAAGCCATTTTACAACATAAGGATTTTGTTATGGATTCCTTAAAAGCAAAACAACTTTTTCACAAATGACCCATGAAAATCAACTTTTATGTTACATTTAGTTTGCTTGTTTTTTACAATCTTCGATTTTCTCTCTATATTTCCTTGGATATAACTATATTTTGGTAAATTTAGCAATGAGCAAACATTTAAATGCGAATATCATAAAAAAATAATCTCAGCCTAGCTCGATCTGAAAAATAATTTATTTTATTCAATGTAAAATAATTAGTCAAATCGACGTTTTACGAGAGCGGACCTATTTTTTTCGATGTTTTCATGTACACTTCAC